AGATTTCCGATAGCATGCTTATCTTGTGTTCATTACCCTACTGGAAATTTAGTTATATTCCTTAGCTCTGGATTTATGTTGACCCTTTGTAATGCCAATATGTCTCAGAGTTTACTTGGGTTAATGTATGACTTCTTCCTCACTTTGGTTGATCGATAGTTTACATTATTCTTTCTACGTTTTTGATCCAAAGTTGTAGTATTTGACATTGTGTTTCCCTCTAAAGTTTTTATTATTTGTTAAAGTATCTGTTACCCCTCTCTTGCTCGTTCAAATGAATTTGTAAACGTCGAGACCCCCTGCTCATTCATGTCATTCATGTATTACCTTATTAATGTTATTTTGTGGGTTTGTGCATGTGCAAACCCTCCATTTCATTTTAGTATCTCATAATCTGTCTTCCATCTTCTTAAGTCCCTAAAAATCATGATTTGCATTTTACTATCATCAAGGGTTTTGTGTTTGTCAAGAAAATAAAAGATTTGCATGTTGTGATGTTGTCATCCTTTTATGTTGCCATTTTGTTACACTGATTTGGTGAGTGATTTAATCACATGTGGGAGTGATTGTGTTCTGTTTAAATTATATTACAACACCTAACATTGTGCTTGATGTCAGTTAGTGTATTGTCATTTTATGTTATGTTAATGATGCTTTGTTTTTTTTTGTGTTAAGATTTCACGTTCCTTTCTTAACTCCATTTTGTTTAATAACATGTGAAATTGCCTCCCGAGTCCATTTTGGGACTTCGTTTTCTTATATGCATTTGGAAGAGCCATAAAGGCTTAATTCCTTTATCGAGTCAAGGCAAACGTAAAAAGTCAAAGGCCATGAAGATTGAAGAGCTTGAAGAAATGGATTAAAGAGTTTCTTCATTTTTATTTTTGTATTTTTATTTGTAAGGGGCATAAGCCCCCTTGTCGTTTTTACTTTCTCATATTTCTTTGTATGTTTAGACTAGGACAGGAAATAGATCAAAAATCCAAAAGCAGGTGGGTTTAAAATTCGATCAAGGCGAACAGAACCCGAATTTGGACCCAAAAATCTCTCTCTCTCTCTCCCTCTTTACTATTTGTTTATGTGTTTTGCTTAAATGTTGTTAGTTAGGGTTAGAAAAACTCCAAACCCCATCGAACGCCTCTTATTTTATCAAACTTAAAACTAAAATCGAATCGTAAAACAATAATATTTTAAATTTGCAAGTTCGAATAGATTTAAGAAATCTAACTTTAAAATTCCCAAAAATCTATATAATAGTCAAATTGGTAATCGCCAGAAAAGCTTTCAACACCTTCCTAAGACGCTAATAGGAATCTTGAACCCTTAAAATATTTTTCAAAACAATTTTCCTGTTTAAGTTGTTTGAAAAATAAGTTTTTCTTAATTTTCCTTAAAAAATTAAGTGGCGACTCCTAAAAGTCAAAAATATCTTTAAAAAAGAAAAAACAAACTCTTTTCGATAATATTTTTCGATAAAACAGAATGGCGACTCTGCTGGGGGGAAGGCTTCTTCTGGAAAATGTTTGAGTCTTTCTCAAAAATTCTGTCCTAGTTCTATTGTAAAAGGGAAAAATAGAACTTACGAGAGATATGACCGAACCCATGTGGCGCCTACGTATCCCGTTGAGGCAGGAATCAGGTCAAACGTAGTTCCCTTTAAAAATTAACAAGAATAAAATTTACAAAGAAACCGACCGAGGCCGACAAAGGCCGCCTACGTATCTCATTCTTGAGAATTCAGGTCGAACGTAGTTCATTACAAGAGGGATAATAATTCGAAATAAATACAAGCAAACAGAACGATTACAAGTAATACCAGAAAAATGCAAAATGAAACTTCACGCATAGTATCTCTTGACAGATTCTGAGTTGATAGGTTTGGGCCATACATCGCCATCCATCTCTAACAAGACCAAAGCACCTCCAGATAATACTTTACGAACCATGTAAGGACCCTGCCAGTTAAGCGCGAACTTTTCTTTGTACTCGTCTTGATGAGGAAAAATACGCTTAAGAACCAACTGACCAACTTCAAAATTCCTGGCTCTTACTCTTTTGTGAAAAGCGCGAGTCATTCTCTGTCTGTACAACTTGCCATGGCAAACGCAACTATTCTCTTCTTATCAATTAAGGCTAGTTGATCAATCTGTTTGCTAAGCCATTCGGCGTTACTTAATTCAGCTTCTTGGATGATCCGCAATGACGGTATCTCGACTTCAACAGGCACGACTGCCTCTGTTCCATATACTAGCAAGTATGGAGTAGCCCAAGTCGATGTTCTGACCGTCGTTCGATAACCTAGAAAAGCATATGGCAACATTTCATGCCAACCCCGCTGTTTGTCAATCATTTTCCTCAAAATCTTCTTGATATTTTTGTTGGCGGCTTCTACAGCTCTGTTCATTTGGGGGCGATAAGCAGTTGACTTTCGATGAATAACTTAAATTGTTCATATATCTGTTTCATCAAATGACTGTTGAGATTTGCCCCGTTATCAGTAATGATGGATTCTGGAACTCCAAATCTGCATATCAGATTGTTGCGAACAAAATCGACCACCACTTTCTTGGTTACCGACTTGTAAGGGGTTGCTTCCACCCACTTGGTGAAATAATCAATGGCAACCAAAATGAATCTATGTCCATTAGAAGCGGTAGACTCTATAGAACTGATGACATCCATTCCCCAAGCTACAAATGGCCAAGGTGAACTCATAGCGTTAAGTTCGTGAGGTGGCACCCGTATCAAATCACCGTGCACTTGACATTTGTGGCATTTTTGCACGAATTTGCAACAATCATTCTCCATAGTCATCCAGAAATTACCAGCTCGAAGAACCTTTCTTGCCAAAGTAAGCCCGTTCATGTGTGTGCCGCAAACTCCAGCGTGTATCTATTCAATAAGCCTCACAGGTTCAGCAGCATCCACACATCTCAAAAGACCCAAATCTGGAGTCCTCCTATACAGGACTTCTCCATTCAGAAAGAAATTGAGAGCCATACGACGTATCGACTTCTTCTGATTAGATGTAGCGTCTTCTGGATATGTCCCAGACTCTAAGTATCTCTTTATGTCAAAATACCAAGGCAAATCGTCTGGTTCTGATTCAACGTGCGAACAATGGATTGGATGTTCATTCAAATCTATATCCAGCGGGTCGATGTAATCAGTATCCGGATGTTTGACCATCGAAGCGATGGTGGCAAGAGCATCAGCTAATTCATTTTGTATTCTGGGAGTGTGTCTGAACTCGATCTTGCAAAACCTTTTACACAGATTTTGCACATACTGTACGTAAGGTACAATTTTCGAGTTTTTCACAGTCCATTCTCCTTGAACCTGATGAATCAGAAGGTCTGAATCTCCAATAACCAATAACTCGTAAATATTCATGTCAATGGCCATTTTCAAACCAAGAATACAAGCTTTGAATTCAGCCATGTTGTTTGTGCAATTGAATCGTAGTTTAGCTGCCATAGGATAGTGCTGACCAGATTTCGATACTAGGACTGCTCCAACACCTTTACCTTGGTGATTCGCCGCTCCGTCAAAGAATAATCTCCAACCTGGATACGCTTCAGAAATATCTTCACCCACAAATGACACTTCTTCATTGTGAAAATACGTCCTAAGAGGTTCATATTCTTCGTCAACGGGATTTTCTGCAAGATGATCGGCCAAAGCTTGTGCCTTTATTGCCTTCTGAGTCACATACACAATATCGAACTCACTCAACAACATTTGCCATTTAGCTAACTTTCCAGTCGGCATCGCTTTCTGGAAAATGACCTTCAATGGATCCATTCTGGAAATAAGATATGTAGTATATGAAGACAAGTAGTGCCTCAATTTCTGGGCAAGCCACGTCACGGCGCAACATGTTCTCTCCAGTAAAGTGTACCGAGACTCGTACGGAGTAAATTTCTTGCTTATGTAGTAGATAACCTTTTCCTTCTTCCCTGTCTCGTCGTGTTGACCAAGTACACATCCAAAGGCACTATCCGAAACAGACAAATACAGCAACAAAGGACTCCCCTCTCGTGGAGGAACCAATAATGGTGGGTTAGACAAATAGCTCTTGATAGCGTCGAAAGCAGTTTGGCACTCTTCAGTCCACTTAGTCGGGGCGTCTTTCTTCAACAACTTGAAAACAGGCTCACATATCACTGTTGATTGTGTTATACACCGACTGATATAGTTTAACCTCCCTAAGAAACTCATCACCTCTTTTCTCGTTTTCGGCAGAGGAAACTCTTGAATTGCTTTGATCTTTGAGGGGTCAAGCTCAATGCCTCTTCTGCTGACTATGAACCCCAACAACTTCCCAGCTGGGACTTCAAAAGCGCATTTGGCGGGATTAAACTTCAAGTTATACCGACGCAAACGCACAAAGAATTTTCTTAAGTGTGTCAAATGATCTGAACTCTCGTGGGATTTGATAATGACATCGTCCACGTACACTTCAATTTCCTTGTGAATCATGTCATGGAAAATAGTCGTCATGGCTCTCACGTAAGTGGCATCGACGTTTTTGAGGCCGAACGGCATCACCCTGTAGTGATACACACCCCAAGGCGTAATGAATGCCATTTTTTGCGTCTTCTTCAACCATCAAAATTTGGTGATAACCTGCGTAACAGTCCACAAATGACTGCATCTCATGTTTGGCACAGTTGTCAATCAGAATATGGATATTAGGCAAGGGAAAGTTATCCTTCGGACTAGCCTTGTTGAGATCTCTATAATCAACACAAATCCTGATTCTCCCGTCTTTCTTGGCGACCGGGACGACATTGGCCAACCAGGTTGGATATTGCGTTACTTCCCCAATCGAGACTGTATTTGCTTCGTGATTTCTTCCTTAATTTTCAGACTCAATTCAGGCTTGAATTTTCGAGTCTTTTGTTTCACCGATTTAAACCCTTGGTTGATAGGTAGCTTATGAGATACAACATCAGTACTCAACCCCTGCATGTCACTGACTTCTCAAACAAACACATCACTCTATTTGGCAAGCAAATGAATCAGGCTCTCCTTCTGAGTTTCATTCAGATAGGTGTTGATCTTTACTTCTTTAACACATTCCGAATCTCCCAAAATTCACCGTTTCTGTCTCCTCCAGAATCGGTTTATGCTGATCCTTGAACTGTCGAAATTCCTCTACAACATAATCAGGTTCCCCATTTTCTTCTTCAAAGTCGTCAACCTTGTCGTCATTTGTCTCATTTTGCTCATGACATGACATTGGCAAGCCTGTAACTTATGTTACTGAAATCACAAACAGACAAAACTAGGAAAATAAAGTATAACAAGCAATTAAATAAACAAAGTTAAAAATAAGGAGGCTTTCATTTAAAGCAGAAATGCAAACTTTGGTCATGGCACAGGGCCATGTCACTTTTAAACATCACAACGAAAATTCAAAATTCGAACAATTAAGAAAGATGCAGAAATGGTGGGTCTCGAGCCTCTTCCGGACAACAACCGATTTTAGTATGCATAAAATAACTCCTTTCTACCAAAGAGTTCGGGACATCAGGATTGGCGTAGAAGTCCAATTCTGCAGCATCTCCCCTGGTTCCGCATCACGAATGCCAGCTGGTTCGACCTCCTCCTTGATGATAGCATTGATCTCCTTGAAAAGGTCACAGATTCCTTCCCCACAGTCTTCAGGCTCGGCATGCTACCAGGTTGGAAAAGATTAGTACAGATGCGGGATCGGTTTAGCCAACTCTTGATCCTTTTTCTTCTTTATCTTCGCATCCTCATCTGTGGGGATGTACCCCAAACCAAATTTGGATCCTTTAGCAAGGACTGGAACTGGCTCGATGATCTCTTGGGTATTTCTTCCCAATCCGAAAACTGGTTCGAACCCGTTCTGCAGCATTACCGTGGCGATCATTCTGTACACGGCTGGTATGGGAGTCTGCGGGGCCAAGCCCTCATCGGTGGCATTTACCAACTCCACCGTGTAAAAATCCGAACCTTGCGGCGCCTCGTCGAAGCCCGGCACCTGCTTGCCTGAGTGTCTTCTTTCACTGTGAATAACTAGCTCCTCATTTTTCCATACCAGCTTCATCATTTGGTGGAGAGTGGAGGAGACGGCTCCAACCATGTGAATGAATGGCCTCCCCAAAAGAAGGTTATAGCTGGTGTCAATATCCAACACTTGGAACTTCGGGTCGAACTCCGCGGGGGCCATTTGGAGGGTCAGGTTTACTGCCCCTAATGTGTCTCTCTGCACACCGTCAAACGCCCTTACATTAACCTGGTTTTGCTCCAATTTTTCCGAGGTCAAACCTCATCTACTTCAATGTGGACAAGGGGCATATATTTAAACCAGATTCATCGTCTACCAAAACATGATTGACGACCTTTCCGTGGCATATCATAGTGACGTGTAGAGCTTTGTTATGGGATCTCCCTTCGATCGGCAATTCATCATCGCAGAAACTGATGCGATGTCCCCGAATGACTTGGTGAATCATGGCAGCTACGTTATCGCTGCTCGTACCTGAGGGCACACACGTGTCATTCAGGGCTTTCATCAAAGCCTGTCTATGGGACTAGGAGCTCATCAGTAGGGCCCACACAGAAATCTGGCCCGGAGTCTTCTCCAAGTGTTTGACAATGGAGTAATCTTTAGGCTGCATCCTCCTCCAAAACTCCTCGGCTTCTGCTTCACTTATTGGTCTTTTGGCATGATCTTTCTTATGTCCTCCGAGAGCAAGCTCATCAGGAGTGTAGCATCTGCCAAATCTAGTCATGCCTTGTGCCACGATTGTTTCCATGACAAACTTGGGTTTGGCGAGAGTTTTCGAGGGCAACAGCCTTCGCAGGTGTCAGAATAACGAACTCTCCTTTTTCCATGACGCTCAAAGAAGCGACAGCCCTTTCCAAGTCTTCCTGCGCAACAAGAGTAATCCTCTTTGTTTCACACTCATCTTCGTCTATTTCTACCATGTTGATGTTTCCACCCCCATAATTCGGCAACGGATTTGTATTGACGTTCGGTGCCGCGGGCTGGAAGGAGACCACTTCTTGGTCGATCAAATCTTGGATCTTATGCTTAAGATTGATACAGTCTTCAGTGTCATGTCCAACACTGTTGGAATGATAAGCACATCTCTGCTCCGGTTTGTAGAATCTGGAGTTGACATCCACGGGCTTGGGCCCCAAAAGGTGGATGTATCCGACCGCGGATAATCTTTCGAACAGCTTGGTCCTACTTTCAACCAGTGCGGTAAAGTTTCTGGAGGGCTTCTTCTCAAACCTGGGACGAGAAGGACCATACCCGCTATGCAGAGGGGGAGGAACTTGTTGATAATTGCGAGCATTTGGGCGAGGAGCTTGGGTTCTAGAGTAGGGATTTGTCTTGTAATTTGGCACTGGAGCTTGGTAATTTGGGAGGGGGCTTTGATATGCTAGAGCTTGATATGTGGGGGAAGGTGCTCGATAGCTCGACTGCACGTTAGCACAGCTGGGAGCTATATTCTGGTAAGGGGGAGGAATTTGATAAGCTCGGGGGTAATTTGGGTATACGGAGGGAAAATTTTGGAGATTTGGGGGTGGATTTTGATATGACAAAATATGGGCATCTGGATAAGTGGGGGCAGCATTGTAGTTGCCGGAATGATTTGATTGTGGACGATAGGCTTGGTGGGATTCTGGCGGAGGCTTGGAGCGGTCTTGAGGACGCAATGAGTTTCTGGGGACTTTTCTTCCCCCGTATGAAATAGCGGCGACCTCCTCTCTCTTTTTCCTCCTCTCTTTTTCCTCATCAGTCCGGAAGATTCGGGCAATGCAGATACTCGGGCTATCTTCCCCGACTTCAAGCCATCTTCGATAGTCTCACCAACTTTGACTATCTCGGCGAATTTGGCTCCGATTAACAAAATGATTATATTGTAGTATTCGGGCTCTTGCACCCGTACGAACACTTCTAGGATCTCCTTTTCAGTCATCGGAGGCCTCACCCTCGCTGCCTCTTTTCTCCATCTGTAGGAAAATTTTCGATAGCTTTCCGTCAATTTCTACTTCATTTTCTCTAAGGAGTACCGATCAAGGACTATCTCAACATTATACGCAAATCTATCGATGAAGTCTTTAGCTAGTGCGCTCCAACTAGGCCATTGTCGAGTTTCGTGTGACGTAAACCATTCCAGGGCCTCACTGCACAGACTCCGACTGAACAACCTCATCAGTAAAGCTTCATTTTGCCAACTCCCACGAGTTGATTGCAGTACGCTCTCAAATGCTCCATGGGGTTGCCTACCCCTCCGAAGGTATCAAACTTCGGGATTTTGAACCCTTCAAAAAGGTTCAAGTCTGGGTGGATACACAATTCTGCGTAACTTAATCCGGCGACGTCTGGAACGCATTGCAACTCTTTCATTGCCCTCTTAATCTCTTTCTTTATGTCGATCTTTGCTTCTTCGCTTGCCTTCCTCTCTCTCATGCTCCTCGTAATGATCCAACTCAGAACCGTGCACCTCATGCTCGACCGGGATGGGAACTTGGAATGTGGTTCTTTTTGGGAGGGGTGAATCTACGGAAGGGCTCGGGACGTTTTGTGCAGTTTGATAGTTTTGTGTATTGGTATTTTGGGTTAAGTGTGGATGTGGTGTTTGGGGGTTAAAGGCGGTTGGATTTTGGTTCTAATTTTGGGGTGGTGGGGCTGTTTGAGTGTTCTGGGGTGTGGTGGCATTTGTGGAGGGTTGTTTGGAAGCGGTGAGGGGGTTTGATAGGATACTGAAGCGTAATGGGAGTTTTGGATTGTCATATCTATCCCAGACGGGTTATGTACGGGTGTTGACGGGTGGTTCTGTGTTGGATCCAAGTTGGACGAGGGGAAGTACGTCGGAGGTCTTGCGTCGATAAAATTAGGGCCGAATCCGGGTGGAGGCGTGTCCTGCCTTCGCTGCATCTCGACTCTCATATCAGCTATCTGTTGCATCAGTTGAGCAATTAGCTCATTTTCTTCTGCCACGGTAGGCTGAGCCACCACAACATCTGTGAGGCTAACTTCATCATTGTTTTCTCCCATGGCTGTATTTCCTCTGTTTGAGTTTGTTCCGGGGAAGGAATCTGTAGTACCTTTTGATCTGGTGAAGTAGGGGTGATCTGCCAGCTTTTATCGACACAGATCAGTTAAAGGTACCTGAGAGGTGAAACAACTCAAAGACAAATTTGTTAGTGCATGTTCGGAGTACAAAATGCATAATATCACACAAATTCAGAAAAAACACACAAGTTGCTTTGTTTGAGGACATTTTAACCCACGAATGAGGACGGAAATATATTTTGAACAAACAGGAATTTGTTTGTTTAATGCTATCTCGGGAAGGCAGAATCGCTTTGAGCTATGGTCTTCTAGCGGCTGCTTTTCGATGCCCGCTGATCTTATCTTCATATATTTGTAACATGGAAGAGAATGAAAATTTTCAGTGATAGGGGCCAGGCTGGGAAAGGCTGCCTACGTATCTCACAAGAAGAATTTAGGCCCAACGTAGTTCGGGTTTAGGGAGAAATATTTTCATTCATTCTTTAATTGCGATTACGAGGAAATTGAAAGACAACATTGAAATTCC